AAAAATGCAAATAGAAAAATGGGAACCACCTTTGGTGGGAAGGTAACAGCGTTCCATGCGTCTTCGGTGTTTAGTCATGCCGGCTACATGACCACGGAGATGTCTTTGGACAGTGCTGGCTCTTTGACTTTGAAACAGAGAGGAACACCGGCCCCTAGAGTCAGGAACCACTAGCATATAAATGCGTGGGGAACCTTTATCTTTACCTAATTTAAGTTATGCAGACAGGATTACTTGCTTCTTTACTGAGGTAGGTTAGTTTTGTCATCAGGGCAGCATAAAACACATTGACATATGCTGACAGAGAGGAGGAGGAGTAAACATTGATGTGACCCTGACAATAACACTTTGATGCAACCTACCATGATGGAATGAGGACCTTTCTGAGAGAAACAATCAACGTCCATATGCGGGCCTTGAGTGAAAAGCCAAAACCTGTTTGTCCCCGTTCCCCCCCCCCCCCCAAAAAAAAACAGACTCTGGCTAGCATTTCTAAAGCTCTTTCTGGACGTAGTTCTTGTTTGCACTGCTGTTTATATATTGTTGATGCATGAATGAAGTCCTGATGCTCTGGAGTTTACTGACAGAAAAATGGCAGGTAAGTTGTTATCAGTTTCCACTACATTGGACATTGCACTTAGAAGCCTGGCAGAATTTGTTAAACAAAGGCAGAAAGTTTAATAATATCTACTTATCTGGGAATAAGCTGTACTGTACACAATGGGATTTATTCAGTCATTACATTTGCCTAGGATTGTGCTGCAAATTACACCATTTTCAGGGAACACATGAATTAGCTGAGCAACCTGGTACACTGAGGAGAATTATAAAGCAGGTTTCAGCCTAGTAAATGCTAATGCCGATTTGACATGGGCCAAACTCTTTATATGATTACTGGGCTTAAGATTTCTGTGGCAGCTCTGGCCCTGCAATAAAATGGAAATAGTTTGCAAACTGATGTCCAGCAAATGACTTGTACCCTTCTGGCAAGCAGACAGTGAAAGCTGGATAATCAGGCCTGGCCTAGTTAAAAGGAAAGAGTTTGGAGATTTTAACTATTATAGGGTGACTCTTTCTAAGATCTTATTGGCTTAAAACTATTAAGGCATCATGGGAAATTCTTCAAAGATTTGAACGTGGTGTTGCTTCATGATCTACCCTCATCCTCACCTGCCCTTTGTCCTTCGAAAGCAGTTTGACTTGTAATAAGAAGCCTCATCTCAAGCTATTCCCAATGTCATGAAAAACTGGATCTGCTGGCTTCTCTTTCAGGCCAATATTAATGTTATGTGAATACATAAGGATCAAAGGTGGTATTCAGCAGGTTCTGACCAGTTCTGGAGAACCAGTAGCGGAAATTTTGAGTAATTCGGAGAATCGGTAAATGCCACCTCTGACTGGCCCTGCCCCCATCTATTTTCTCTCTCCTGAGTCCCAGCTGATCGGGAGGAAATGGGGATTTTGCAGTAACCTTCCCCTGCCACGGCCACCAAGCCAGGCCCACAGAACCGGTAGTAAAAAAAATTGAATCCCACCACTGATAAGAATGGTGGATTTTCAAGGCTCTCCGAAAGAAAATAATTGCAAAGCACAAACCGTTTTTCATCAGGAGGAGGAAAAACCAGAGGTCTAAAAGCAAACATACTTCAAACAGTCTCTCCAGGATGGATCCTGTTTACCGTTCATGATCTTGAGTAGCAGGAATTGAAAGGGAAATATTTTGAAATGAAGAGTTCAGGAAGGAAGCTAAGTGAAGTAGCTGTGCCCAGAAGCACTTTGCATTTTATTTTCTTTCGGA